GAGGAAAAGGACAAAGCGGGCTTTCAGATTTACTGTGGAGCAACTGGGTGGATGGAAGTGCCCTTTACTAAGCAGGGAACAGACCCTGGAGAAGGAACAGGTTGGAAGGAGACTGGGACGTGAATGTAACCTGAGCAAACTCCAAATACAGCTGTTCACATCACATGACCATGATGACATTCAGAAATCTATGAAAAATGGCATCAGCGTTAAAAAGAGTGTGTTCTAGAACTAGCTAAGACACTACAGCACATTTCTTCATTCTGTGTTTAAGTGAGGCAGTGGTGATGTGACGAGGAGTACAGGAGGTTGAACTGTGTCCTCCAAAAAATACGCTGAAGCCCTAACCTCTGGTGCTGTCCCATGTGACCTTATTTGGAAATAAGGTCTTTGCAGATGGAATCTGTTAAGATGAGACCATTCTGAATTAGAGTGGGCCCTAAATCCAATAACTGGTGCCTTTATAAGGAGAGGGCGATTTTAAGACACACAGAGACACAGGAGGCAAGAAGGCCAGATGAAGACAGAGGCAGAGACTGGAGTTACGCTGCCACAAGCACCACCTTCGGAGGGGTGTGGCCCTGCCAGTTTCTTGATTGCGGAATTCTGCCTGCAGAACTATGAGAGAATAAATGCCTATTGTTTAAAGCCATCCAGTTTATGGTACTGTGCTACAGCAGCTGTAGAAACTATTACAGGGAGGAAGACTGTTTTTAGCTTCAGAAGAAATTGAAAAGGAAGACCTAAGCCAGATACAAGGCACTGAATGAGACAAGAAGACAGTTAACTACCTTGCAAAGTAAGCGTTTGGGGAGTTTGAGCCTATTTAGGTCTTGAATTCAGTTTTCACGTTTCAAAACCGGGGACAATGGTACTTAATCCAGAAGGTTGTACATCGGGGTGTAGTCTGTGCGCTGTAATGGATAACTAATTATAAGTTATCGCTGGGCAAAACCTGGATTTTATAACGTTATTATTCATTAATCTATGAGTACAACATGGCAATCTATTCCTTTTTTATTACAATGTTACTGCTACTGCTGTGACAGGTCTGATAGATTTGCATACCTTCCTCCCTCTGAAGGCAAAGCTGGTTGACGGTTTGCCATCATTCTAGTATAGTGGTTCTCAACTGGGGGACATATGATGATGTCTGGAGACATTTTTGGTTGTCACAACTGGGAGGGAGGCGCCACTAGCAAACAGTAGGTAGAGGGCAGGGATGCTGCGAAAACATCCTACACAGCATAGGGAGCCCCCTACAACAACGAACTGTAGGGCTTCAATAGTGCCGAGTTGAGAACTCTGCTCTGGAAGTAACCAGACAACGTGCAGTCAAAGCTTCAAGTGCCAAGAATTCACTTTCTCATCCAAAGTAGTCAAACCGATCACATATCCTTCTGAAATCTGACAGAACAGACTATCAATACGGTGACTCACAAGCTGTCCAGAGCTAATGGAAACTTTAAACATCTTTTTGATAGTCTAAAAAAGAGTGAAGGGCTTCCCTGGTGGCACAGTGGTTAAAAGTCCACCTGCCGATGCAGAGGACACGGGTTCGTGCCCCGGTCCGGGAAGATCCCACATGCCGCGGAGCGGCTGGGCCCGTGAGCCATGGCCGCTGAGCCTGCGCGTCCGGAGCCTGTGCTCCACAACGAGAGACGCCACAACAGTGAGAGGCCTGCGTACTGCAAAAAAAATAAAAAAAATAATAAAATAAGATAAAATAAAAAAGGAGTGAAAATTCCTGTCCTAGAAGACAGGGGCATGGTCACTAGCCACTCTGCAAGCACTAGCAGTGATACACACACACACTGCAGAGCTGAGGTAGCCACTCATCCCATCCTCCAGCATAAACCATCTCAGCATAAACCATCTGCCAGACTGGAGAAAGAGTAACTGTCCTCCCAAGCGGTCCCTCCCAGTAGCCAGGGAGCCTCCCTGAAGCTGAAAACCAGTGGAGTCCCAGCAGCTAAGCTCCTTGACTGAATCCTAGAATTATACTTAGGCAGTGGGCGGTTGGATCAGTCCTACAGAGCTGGCATACGTAGTTATCTTTCATCTGTACCTCGTAGCCAAGCCTAAGCGATTGCCTTGTTCAAAGCTGCTGTATCCCCTTCATGGCTGTCTCTGGCATGCAAAGCATTTGTAGCTGCCTCCTTGAAGCTATAATAGAAATACGGCTGTGCATACTGTACATTTTTAACCCAGTCTGTTTATCAAGACACTGTGGTCTGCTTGTCACCCTCACCAAATATTCAGGTCATAAACAACTTGAACCTCCAATGCTATTCTCGGAGTCAAGAGCACCTTAGAAATATGATGAGCTAATTGGTAAAGGCAAGAAAACCCCAGTTTTGGTAAAGGCAGTTAGGTACTCAGGGTTGCCCTCTCCATTGAAGCTGTATTTCTTTCTTTTGTTAACACAGAAGTGCAAATATATCTAAGGAAACAAATAGCTCACAGTGCAACATTAAATATAATGGCAAAATCTCCTATGGAGGGCAAAGTACACTGCTAAGTAGAATAGCATATATCTTAATTCTGACTTTCAAAAGTCTGTATTTATTGGGTTCTAGGCAAGTTCAAGAACAAAAGTTGCGGGACTTCCCTGGTGGTCCAGTGGCTAAGACTCCACGCTCCCAGTGCAGGGGGCCTGGGTTTGATCCCTGGTCAGGGAACTAGATCCCACATGCCACAACTAAGAGTTCCATGCCGTAACTAAAGATCCCACATACCATAACTAAAGATCCCACATGCCACAATGAAGATCCTGTGTGCGGCAACTAAGACCCAGTGTGACCAAATAAATAAATATTTTTTTTAAAAACGTTGTTTCTTTTTTTTAAAAAAAAAAAGAATAAAAGTTGTGACATACTGGTTTAATACCCTTAATGTTTTCATCACCATAGCAAAACTACATTTACATTTAAAATTGGCTTGGGGGCTTCCCTGGTGGCGCAGTGGTTGAGAGTCTGCCTGCCGGTACAGGGGACACGGGTTCATGCCCCGGTCCAGGAAGATCCCACATGCCGCAGAGCGGCTGGACCCGTGAGCCATGGCCACTGAGCCTGCGCGTCCAGAGCCTGTGCTCCACAACGGGAGAGGCCGCAACAGTGAGAGGCCTGCGTACCGCAAAAAAAAAAAAAAAAAATTGGCTTGGTACTGTCAACGTATATTTTATCATTAAAAATCAAAAATTCAGTGAAAGCTTTTGGTCCATTGAGACAGAACAAATATTTCAACAGCTGGAAGATGTTAAAAGTCAAGAGTTCTGGCATTTGAAGAGTCATATATAATCACCCTCCTCTAAAAACAAAACATCGCAAAGAAAGCCAAAGAAACATGCTATCTCATAGGAAACCAACAAAACACAAAAATACAAAAATTATAATTCCTCTCCAATCTGTATTTATAAAATTTACTTAGCTACTAGAACTATTTAAACTGTCCCACGTAAGAGAAATAATCTCTTCCTGAAGTTATGGGAACACTATTTTCCTAAGTATGAAAAATAATCATCAGTGTCTTTATGGATGGCTCTTCAGGGCAGACCATACAAAGTTTTCATGTCACCTCGACAGCCGAGCAGCTGAAATAATTCATAATGCAGTCTGATTAAAAGGAGCAGAAAGAAAAGCTCAACCTCTGTTTCAATTTAGTTGGAACTTTCAAGCTAAAATGTCAGCAACTCAGAAGTAGAATTTGAATAAACATTTCATGATAAATTTGGGCATCAATTTTATATATTCACAGAAGCCTGTTTCCATGATTCTCTCTACTTTGTCTAAACTGTACCCCGTGAACTAACTACTACTATTCCTATCATATGTCAGCAATTCAGCCTACCTTCATCGCCTTCATATGTGGAAATAACAAACCACAGATTTATAATTTCATTCTAAGTTCATATTCTAGGGAAGACGGACTATTTATGGAGAAACAGCAGGAAAATATTTTATAATCCAACACATACTGAGTACATTTAATAAAGAATGCTCCCTAGAGAAAGGCAGCGCTAAGGGCTAAGGGGAGTATGTGTATGTGCATGTGTGTGTGCATGTGCATGTGCATGTGTGTGTGTTTTGAGTGGAAACGGTTAGAACGAATGCTGTAAAGAAAAGGCTTGTACAGTATTCCTTCTGGAGCAGGACCTGACTCCACAACCAGAAGTCTAAAGTAAGAGGAATAAACACTCTGCCAACCAAGGGACTGACTTTCTTCCCTGAAGCAGGGAGTATTGGAGTATTGCTAACATCTTCCCAGTCACGGAGAAACTTTTTTCTAAAAAAAAAAAAAAAAAAACTAATCTTTCTAAAGAGTTTCTAACAATCTTTAAGAGCAGTGGATGTTAAATTAAGTTACAAGAAGTGCTAGAGTCACACCCCAGCTTGTTCTCAACCGGAGCAACTTTTGTCTGTTTTATACAAAGGTCCTATGGCAGAAGAACTGTGAAAAATGCTGATCAAAAATATTAAGAGGGGCTTCCCTGGTGGCGCAGTGGTTGAGAGTCCACCTGCCGATGCAGGGGACACGGGTTCGTGCCCCGGTCCGGGAAGATCCCACATGCCGCGGAGCGCCTGGGCCCGTGAGCCATGGCCGCTGAGCCTGAGCGTCCGGAGCCTGTGCTCCGCAACGGGAGAGGCCACAGCAGTGAGAGGCCCGTGTACCGCAAAAACAAACAAAATATTAAGAGGGCTGCCTCCCCAGGGATGTCAAGAGAATCCAATAACATAAACCTGTCAAATGTTTAGAGCAGAGGTTTGCATGCTATAAAAGCCCAGCAGCAGTTGGCTAGGATAATGATGCTGGTAACAATTCAAGTCTTCGCTGTAGAGGTAATTTTAAAAAAATGAAGCACAGAGGCTTGTATGAGTCCACGTGTAGAAACTATACACCTAACATCTCAAGCTTTTAAAGGATGATCACCTCCAACAGGTGTCTGAATTACAGAGTTTCAAAACTGGATGTACAGCGAGCAACGCCACAAGAAGGCTTACCTCTTCTTCTTGGTGATAATGAGCACGTCGTTAAAGAGGAAGAAGTAGACTTGCTGTTTGGACGTCCTTTTTGAGAAAAGCACAGTGTCTTCCACATAGGCTGTCAACTCACCTCTTTTGACCAACCAGCGGGAAGAGGAGACTAGAGGAAAAGGCTACAAAAAGAGAAACACTCAGTACCCAAAGCCAAAGTAAAGTCCTTTTAGGATTATTGAAAGTAAAGTATAAAACTTACATTCAAACAAATGATACATCACTATTTTATATAATAGTGTATATAACAAGTACGTAATAGTGAAATACAGTTAGAGAAGGATAGCACATTCTCCAAGAGAAAATCAGGAAGAACAATTTATTTTCCAATATAAAAAACTATTAAGGCTTCCCTGGTGGCGCAGTGGTTGAGAGGCCGCCTGCCGATGCAGGGGACACGGGTTCGTGCCCCGGTCCGGGAAGATCCCCGATGCTGCGGAGCGGCTGGGCCCGTGAGCCATGGCCGCTGAGCCTGCGCGTCCGGAGCCTGTGCTCCGCAACGGGAGAGACCACAACAGTGAGAGTCCCGCGTACCACAAAAAACAAAACAAAATAAATAAATAAACTATTAATATTAACTTGCCTATATAAAAACTAAAACTCAATCAGAAAATGTTATTGGGTCAACCAAAAGTTATTACCCTTCCATTAACTCTTAACTGAAAAGAAGATTGATAAGGAGTCACTTAAAACTGAAAAGCCTCAAAAGGAAACATATTGGTATCAACTGAAGTTATTTTAAATATCATAAATCAGAATCCAAACAGATGAAAAAAACATTGATAGCTGCGGTTAAAAAGAGACAAATTAAAAAGTCTGCATTCAATTCATGAACTAAAAAGACTTTATTCAAAAGGAAAGAAAAAACCCTGCAAACGAATGTTTTGTCTATTGATTATCTACTTAGCTGTATTCTGGAGAAAACCTTTGCTTAAGTTTATGGTAGTTTCCCTCATGGAAGTTCATCCCTGAAAGCATCATGCCATTTTCTGGTTGTGAAAATGAACTTCTTTCAGAATAGTCCATCTTACTCTCATAGAAAAGGCTATATTCAAGGAACTGCATACTGTCTTTCCTTTATTCAGTTTACAGTTTCCAACTGGAAAACTCTCAAAACTTCAGAATGATCCTTACCCATGAGAGCTTTTTTTTAAGTTACCAGAAATGCTTACTGCCAAAAATCTGATTGAAAAAACGACATTCATAAAAATAAGCAAAAGTTCTTGGACACACAAAAGATAACTCTAGTAAGTGTGGTGCAACCAAATGTCATCCATTTCAGGGAATAATGATTAAAAATAGCCAAAGGAAACTGAGGATATTAGGGAGGAAATAAGAACGCTAAGAAAGGATTTCATATTTTTTTAATTTATAAAGGACGTTTATAAGAAGGTTGCTCATCAGTTATATACTATTTTCCTGAAGATTTAACAAGTAAGATGAAACAGTATGGCTGATCTCAAAATTTCAAAACTGGCTATTTCAAGGAGTTCATGTAGTTTTCAGCCTCCAAATCTCAAATCAGACTATGGCTGAGACTTAAAAGGTGACAGAGAGGTTGCTTAGATAACTCAGGAGGACCCCACCAGCACACACAAGAGGTCACCACAAATAGTCAGAGTCAGGTTAGGTCCTGCCACAGGGCTGCAACTACTGGGAACGCACTGCTATCTTGTTATTGCGTGTATAGGATAAACCAATGACAGTATTATGTAATGGCACCCTATGACTGTTCTTAGTTTAGAGGACGGGGAAGAAAGTTTTTTTAACTCTTGGTCTTTTTTTTCTTTTTTTAATTTTTTTTTAATTTTTGGCTGTGTTGAGTCTTCGTTGCTGTGCACAGGCTTTCTCTAGTTGCTGTGAGCAGGGGCTACTCTTCATTGTGGTGCGTGGACCTCTCACTGCGGTGGCCTCTCTTGTTGCAGAGCAGGGGCTCTAGGCACGCAGGCTTCAGTTAACTCTTGTTCTTAAAACAGATTGAGTTTTATGAACACCTCATACTCCACTGGGCAAAAATAAATTTCCAATGTATATATAAAATTGACAGTGGCTTGCAATATGTCTATGCTTCTTTAAAAAACAAAAATCTGATACTATAAATGTTTTTTGTTTCAGTTTATTGTTGAAAGATTAAACTCATTCAGATGGCTTTCTTTTAAGAAGAAGCTATAAAAATAACCAAAATATTTAGAAGAATCACAGTAGCCCAAATTGCTCCTAAGTGAATTCCCACAGTTTAGAAGCTTCGTCTAAGACTAGAATCCAGGTGTGAATCAAAAATAAGAAAAGAGGGCTTCCCTGGTGGCGCAGTGGTTGAGAGTCCGCCTGCTGATGCAGGGGACACGGGTTCGTGCCCCGGTGGGGAAGATCCCACATGCTGTGGAGCGGCTAGGCCCGTGAGCCATGGCCGCTGAGCCTGCGCGTCCGGAGCCTGTGCTCAGCGACGGGAGAGGCCACAACAGTGAGAGGCTCGCGTACCGCAAAAAAAGAAAGAAAAATTCATGAACAAAAACACATCCTTAAAGGTACTGATATAATTCCCATGGAGAAAAGATTTTCATTCTTTTTGGTGTTACTTAGCATCCTAGAAAACCAGCCTCAGCATAAAATTTAACTAATTTTATGGGCCAGTGAGACAAGGAAGAACAAGTTTTTTCTAAATTGAGGCAAAAATGCATCATTTAGCCATTCTAAAGTATACATATAATTCAGCGGCTTTTAGTACATTCACAGTGTTGTGCAGTGATCATCACTATCTAATTCCAGAACACTTCCATTACCCTAAAAAGAAAGTCCATATGCACTGAGCAGTCACTCTCCACTCTGCCCTCCCATTAATTAAGTTAATCCTTACAATAACTCCATGAGGGAAAGTACCATTATCAGTCCTACTTTACGGTTCAGAAAACTAAGAAATGAAAGTTAAGTAATGCCCAAAGTCCTACAGCTAGTAAGTAGTGGAGCTACAACTGGAACTCAGGCAGGCTGGCTCCAGAGTCCACGCTCTTAATATTGGCTTCCTGTGCCGATCCGGTGGACTCTCCTCACCCCTCACATTACCACGTACAGCACATGATACTCGGCCAGAAACTTACTAATTTAAAAATGAAAAACACATGTAAGTAAACATACATACATACATTCATACGTACATAAATATCTAATACACACACACACAGAGACATATATATAAGCTTTTATCCCCTTCAAATGAGAAAAAGACTAGCATTATTTTGCTGCCATGGTTAAGAATGTGGACGCTGCAGTCAGTCGCAGATCTGAATCCAGGCTTCAGTACTGCTTGGTGTATGACTTTGAGCAAATAATTTACTATTTCTAGCTTCGAATTCCTCAACGATAAAATGGGAATAATAATTAGATACTTCATGGGGTTCCTGTGAGAATTCAATGAGACTATGTGAAAATGGCACATAGTAAATACTCAGTAAATATTTTCATGGCAGTAATGGCTACGGTAGGACCATAAACCAAACAGAACCAACACAGAACCCGCTACCTTTCCCTCAGGGTCGTTCCTCCTCTTGGATTCCCTACCTAGGTGGATGGTGTGACTCTCCATCCAGTCGACCAGACTAGACACCTGCGGTACCACCGCTACAGCCCTCCTCCAGGCATCCCGCTTATCTCTCTGCCTCTGCTTCCAGTCTCCAAACTGGTTTTCTGCCTCCGGTTTTATTACATTCCCAACTTACCCTCCACATAGCTGCTGTAATACATTTTTAAAATAATAAACTGAATCTGGTGTATGTGTGTAGAGTGGGAAGGGGGGGTTGTTAAAAAAAAAAAAAGTCCTATGAAAACCTATTAAATGAACAACCTCCTTCCCACCCCGTACCTCATCTACTCAGTTTCCAACCACTGATTACAGCCCCTACAAGGTAGTAACTGTTACTGTTCTTCTATAACTTTCCAGAGATTTCTTACACATAAGCAACTTTTATACTCTTTTTTCCTCCTGTTCTGCACCTTACTTTTTCCACTTAATAATGTAAGACAGAAAGCTTACCGTATCGATTCCTAAAATTCTTCATTTCTTTTTAAGTTGAGTGGTCTTACATAATTTAGGTATACTATAATTTAATCAGTCCCCTATTGATAGATGTTTAGGTTGTTTCTAATCTTTTGCAATTAAAACAATGCCATATCAGTAACTTTGTGTGTATGTCTGTATGTGTGTGTGTGTGTGTGTGTGTGTGTGTGTGTGTGTAATTTTACACATTCATGAGTATATCAATAGGATAAATTCTTAGAAGTAAAATTGCTGGGTCATAGTAACTTGCATTTGTAATTTTGATAGTTATTGACATATTGCCCACCATTGGGGTTATAACAATCTTTCCCACGAGCAACAGATAAACATGGCTTTCCCAACAACTCACTGATAAAATGTTTTGAATTACTTATAAATCTAAGTGGTAGAATACATTATTTTAATTTCAATTAGCAATTTTCTTCTGAATGAAGTAAAGCATCTTTTCAGATGTTTAACAGTCATTTGTATTTCCTCTTCTGAGGACAGTTTTCTAGTTTGGAATTTTCTAATGGATTTTTTCCTTTTCTTCTTCTTATCACTTTGAGGTTATATGTTGGGAATATTAACGCTTTATCTATATGTGAGTTCTAAATTTTTTTCCCAGTTTCCTATTTCCCTTTTCACTTTTTAAATACCCTTTAATTTTCACTCTATGGAGAAATTTTTAAAATTTTCACATCGATCAATTTTCCTTTTAATGACTTCTGGATTTGGAATAAGTTTAAAAGGCTTTTACTATGATGCTACGGTCATCTTTACTAAATGCGCATCTGACTGTGTCACTTCCATGCTTTGAACTTTTCAGTGGCTCCCAGATGATCCGGCTCTGCTCCTTCTTTTGGCACACAAGGCCCTTCCCATGAGTTCTAGTTCTGCCCCGCTCACCTCGACCCCACTGAATGTGTGCAATTCCTGGGCTACAGCAGCTGAAACCATGTCCTGTGCATTTGCTCCTGCTCTTCACTCTTGGAAGACCCTTCTCTCTCTCCTTTCAAGATCAGCTCAAGCGTACCTCCAGTATGAAGCCTTGCCTGGCTGCTACAAGCTCCCCACCCCTTTGTCCCTCATTCTTAGGGCCGGCCACGCCCTCTCCATTGCTGGTGTTCTCAAAGCTCTTCTATATCCCATAACAGCTGTACACTTGGCTCACTCCTTTGTATTTCTGTAGTCTTCTACTAGATGGTAAGCTCCCTGAGGGCAGGGATCATGCTTTTGTTTTCCCACTTCAGTCCACAAAGGTGCTCATGAAATTTGTTGAAAGAATGCACGTGCTTGGACAAACCACTTAACTTCTTTGAACATCTGTCTTCGCGTCTTTGAAATGAACTGAATAAAAACGTCCATTGTTATCCATAAAGTGTTATAGAAATGAGGTCCTAAGGTTGTATTAGTATTTCTAAGTGGTCTGAATTAAGTCCTTCATTATAAATCTAAACTTAGAATACTTTCCTTTAAGTTTGCAATCTTAATCATTGAACCAAGAGAAAACAAAAAACCAAAAACTCATGCACTCAGTTGATGTTAATCACTTATTTATTTATTTATTTTTTTGTGGGACGTGGGCCTCTCACTGTTGTGGCCTCTCCCTGTTGCGGAGCACAGGCTCTGGACGCGCAGGCTCAGCGGCCATGGCTCACGGGCCCAGCCGCTCCACGGCATGTGGGATCCTCCCAGACCGGGGCACGAACCCGTGTCCCCTGCATCGGCAGGCGGACTCTCAACCACTGCGCCACCAGGGAAGCCCCAATCACTTAGTTTTAAGAACCCTTGGGGTAAGTATTTTTTCAGTTACAAATTAATTGTGGTTCTAGAGAAACAGAGCTTAAAGGTATCTTAAACCAACTGATTATCAGTGAAGAAAGAAAAAGAAAAATGGTTAGGGAAGGACTTATCAACTTTTAAAATGGAAATGGTTAGAGATTTATCATCTTTAAAAAAGAGGGGATTAAAAAGAATCTTTTGATGTATAGATATATTTTCTAAAATACTTAGAAACAAATGAAAGTGAAGGGCAGGATTCTTTTTGAAGGATGGGAAAAAATGGGTTTTGAAATTGCCATAAATTTCTATATGAGGGTATAATAACTAAAGTGTGCGTGCGCGTGCATGCGCACGCTGTTTTTAGCAAGTACCCATCATTTTCTAAGAAGAATCATGGATCACCTTTCTGCATTTAAATCTTTATAGCCAGGGTGTCACAGTGGAAGAGTTTACACTGATCAAGTCAGGATGTCTGGACCCTAGTCCTGATTTTGCCACCACGAGCCGAATGACCCTGTTTACAATTAATTATTCTCTGGGTTGTATTTCCCTCATTTATAAAATAAAAGGGTGTAGCTGTACTATATCAGTGGCCCTCAAACTATATGACACAGCAGAGAGTTATCTGCATAATGTCACGATCGCTCTAATCCCACTGCACAAATTAGGAACACTTTCACTCTGAAAAAATATGACCGCTTTAAGTTGCTTCATTAAATTCAAGTGGCATAAAACGAAACAGAATCACAACCATGAACACTCACACACATTAAGAACTAAACTGTGAGCCAGCAAAGGAGCTGACCATGGCCTAGCCTCGCCATTAATTGTTATTTCCTTCTTTGTCCATCCTGTCATCTGCCCCTGAGCAGTATGAGACACGCAGTAGCAGGCAGCATATATGCAGAAAAGAATTATGGGAGAAAAACAAATTTGAAAAGAACAATTCACTAGTAATCCTTTTGTGCAAACTGAGAAAGGAGTGTACTTATTTGATTTAGGAGAACACCCTGGTCCAGCTCGTGGGATACCACTGTTTTGCAGGATACTTTGAGAATACTAAAGAAATCTCCTCTCTATTCTAAAATTCTATTATTTTTAACCACCCTTTTCTCAAGTTTGGTGTCTTCCTTGGGAAAAAAGGACGTGCCAGTTAGATAATACCTAACTCTGTGGCCTAGAGAAAGGTCACTTTATCTGGTATTAGCAAGAGCTGAATTGTCCAAAGCAAAGCATCTGCTATTTCCCCTGCCAGCCTCTCTGTAATCAATTTATGGCCCTGCTGTGAGAAGCAAATTCCTCTCCACTTTGTTGCCCTCAACTATCTCTTTATTCGCATAAGATTTAAGCAGGAGCAGTAACAAATCTATTTATGAAGAAGTATGAGAGAATACCTTAATTTTAAACTCCAGCTGGGAGTTAATTGTGTACATCATTTCAGTCCTTTCCATCTTCCGAGCTCCTTCATTGCAGAGTCGAACCAACTGGAAACAGAGGATAATAAGGAGGGTTAAGAGGTGAACGAGAGAAACCTCACTTTCAAATGCAGATCTCACAGGAAACAATTAGCACTGTGGAAGCTCCAGAGACTCATTCCAGACAGTTAAAGAACTCACAGTTTCACACAGTCAAGACTTTGTACCCAGTTGGAAGTGGTGTCATCGGGATGTGAAGACAGAGGAAAAAAAACGTCCTGAGAATTTTCAGGGACACACATCCTCTGTGCATTATCACACGATGCCCTCCACATACACTTGGCAGATTCCTCAAATGGTCCAGTCCACTCCATTCTGCTCCTTTCCTCTGCCCCTCCTCCTTGCCTTCACCCATGGGAACATCACCAACCTCAGAGCAAGCTGCACCTCTCTCCCCACTTCATATCAGAGCAGCTGAGGGCAGACCACTGACTTCAAAGGCAAATTCTTAGCAGGATTCTACATGCAAAGCATGTGACCAGTAACCTGGATGCTGGAAGAGGAAAGCCTTCCATTGGAACCTAATGGTCAATGATTCTTCAAGGATGGTCAAGCTAAGGGAAATTCAGTTTAATTAGAACTACTGATTTATCTACAAACAGAACAAACTCATAGTCCTTTGATGAGTAGCTGTGATATCATGATTTATAATAAACAAAATATATATTTTGTCTTTTTCCATGGTTTCTGGCACACAGCTCCTAAAACCCTTGTAATTTCCTATGTAAGAGCCACAGGGGCATCTCTGGCTGTAATTTAGTTTTGCTACCGGTTCCTGAAATAGCTCCAGGGCATAAAAGTGAAATGGGTATCTTCTGTTATTCATAACAAGCCCCCCCTTTCAACCACGTCTGAGTTTATGTTAATGAGGTGACTTCTGGTAAGCCCCTAAGGATGGGGCTGGTTGCCAGGGGAACCAACCAAGTGATTAAAAAGAAGGCTGGAACTTTCAGCCCTGCAGACTTCCAGGGAGGGGAAAGGGGCTGGAGATAACACGATCACTATTGGACAGTGATACAATAATTCACGCCTACATAATGAAGCCTCCATAAAAATCCCTGAACTTTGGAGTTGGAGAGCTTCCAGGCTGGTAAACAAGAACACTCCTGCATGCTGGGAGGGTGGCATCCTTCTAGACCTCACCTTATCTCTTCATCTGGCTGTTCATTCTTATCCCTGAATAGCCTTTGTAATAAACCACTCATCTAGTAAGTAAACTGTTTTCCTGAGTTCTGTGAGCCCCTCTAGCAAATTAATCAAACCTGGCGAGGGAGTCATGGGAACTTGATTTATAGCCAGTGGGTCAGAAGCACAGGTAACAACCTGGAATTGTGATTAGTGACTGAAATGAAGTTGGGGGTGTAGTCTTGCGGGCTTGAGCCCTTACCCTGTGGGATCTGATGCTATACCTCCAGGTGGAGTGAGAACTGAACTGAATACAGTAAGACACCCAGCTGGTTCAGCAGAAGTACTTGGTGTGGGGAAAGACCCCACACATTTGGTGACCACAAGGGTCAGAAATGAAGTGCTCTGTGGGTAGAGTACTGAGCACAGAGGAGACACACAGGAGTTTCTCCTTTACATTGTACCTAATACATAATTATTAGTTCACTGGACTAAACCAAAACAAACTTTGTATTTCCAATTTCTTATTAACTGAAAAATCTACAAAACTTGTCCATAACAAGGATCATTGGCCATAAAGACGTGTGATCGTTAAAAGCGAAGCTAGAAATTCTGATTAGATTTACTTTAATATTACTGCTTCATTAAGTTACATATGCTTACTGTAAAAAATAAAAAATGATAATACATAAGTAAACAAAACAGGCCATAAAAGGCTCTGACCTAATCCTACTCCATGGAGGTAACTGGAAACAAGATGGGTTATACACTTTCTCTTTTTTTCCTATGCTTATATGAACATATAAACACACACATATAATGTGTAGAAATTCTAATTTTTGTAAATGGATTATTCAATGCTTGTCTGTGACTTAATTTTTTTCACTTGCCAATATTTCGCCTTATAAATATAACATTCACTGAAAAAAAAAGTTTATTTTGTACATGGTATGTGTCAGATGCTAGGGTTACAACATTTGAGAGATACACAATCCCCATCCTCATAAAAGAAGGGCAGACACAATAATTACAGACTGAAATCTTAAAGGGGGGGAAAAAACAGGGGTTCTGGGAGAGGGAGGGTGAGGAGGGAGCCAGGGACCTCTCCTGAGAGGTCATTTAGGCTGACAGCTGAAGGAGAAAAGGGAGTTAGCACCCAAATCAATGGAGAGCGCTGGTCCAGGCAGAGTGAACCCCAGGAGCAAAGGGCTGACACTGGGAAAGTGCCGTGTGCCTGAGAAAGTAAAAAGGTCCAGACACAGGAAAATGGCACAAGAGGAAACTAGAGGACCAGCATCATCCCAGCATCATCCGCTTCCCCAAGCCAAAAAGCTGGGTCCCCACCACTCAGATGCCGCCGGCTCCTTTGCCCTCCATATCCAAACAGTCCATAAAGTCTCATTCATGCTGCCGCCCTGCTGTCCACTCACCCACCAGCCCTGTCCCCGCACTCAGGCTCAAACTCCCTCTCCTTTGGATTACTGGCCTCCTAATTCTCTGCCATCACTTCCGCCCTACCCTTATGTGTCATCCAGAAAAAACATTTTCAATCTATCTAAGTTCAAATCTTTTTTTTTTTTTTTTGAGGTACGCGGGCCTCTCACTGTTGTGGCCTCTCCTGTTGCGGAGCACAGGCTCCGGACGCGCAGGCTCAGCGGCCATGGCTCACGGGCCCAGCCGCTCCGCGTCATGTGGGATCTTCCCGGACCGGGGCACGAACCCTTGTCCCCTGCATCGGCAGGCGGACTCTCAACCACTGCGCCACCAGGGAAGCCCCTAAGTTCAAATCTGATCATGCAACTCCTCAGCTTGAAATCCTTAAAAGGCTCCTCGAAGCTTTCAGAATTAAATCTTAGCAAGACCATGATCTGGCACCTACTTACTTGATCCCTAACTTCCTGCTTCTCTTATCTTGGGCCTCAGTCTTACCAAATCTCTGCTCAGAGCCGCACACCCTTCCACGTCCCTTTGCACTTTTGCACGTGTGTTTCCCTCTACCTGAACATTCTTCACCCCACTCTATCCCACTGACTCCTTCTTATCTAGATTTATACCCCCCTATTTGTCTTTCAGGACTCATCTTGGGTATTACCTCTCTAAAAAGACTGGAGAGCAGAGATTGTGAAATTTCCATATTTGTTAGTTCAGTGCCCAGCCCAGTACCTAAGACACAAAGCAACGCTCAGCAAATGTTAATGTGTAAACTGCCTTCAGAGATCATTTATAAGCCACTTAAAAAAGGGGGGGGGGGCAATTCCTTTTTAGTTATCCCACTTTAAAATGAAAGGGAAAATGGAAAATAAAGTTATAATCTTTATTTCCTAAACTTCCAAACATAGACTCCACCAGCCGCCACCTCCAAAGGCGTATTAAGAACAAAAAAGTTCCCCCAAAATATATCAAGCAATGGTATCATTAGTGGACTCTGATTAATGACTACGTTGAAGGGACAAGCGCTAATTTGGATATAGTGTTTTTCTTAAAATCAGCCTCCGCATATTAAAGCCGTGACTTCCTTTAGCGTCTGTCAAAGCTTTATTAAATTTGGCTGAATTTTTTGTTTTAGGCCAAATTTATGTGGCAAAAAAAGAACTCAATCTCTCTAATGTGGAAATATAAATTAAAACAAAAATAAAATATTTTCAATCTATCAAATTCACAAAGATGAAAAGAATATTGGATGCTGGGGAGTGCACAGTAAGATAGACACTTAGAAATACTTCTGGTTGTCATGGATACAGGGACAACTTTTCTTGAAGGCACTTGGGGGTCTTTAAATCATACCTACCTTTTTTCCCCCCAATAAACCCATTTCTGGAAACTTTTCAACAGAAATCATCAGAGGAGCACAATCATTTATGTAAGGCCATAGTCCACGCAGCACTATTTAGAAGAGTAAATGAAATGGGTACCACATGAATCCATGTGTAAGTGTACATTTACATCCACTGGAAGGACACGCCATAAAACGGCAACAGTCACTATCTTTGACAAGATTACTGATTACATTATTTTTAAAATGTTATCTTTGTAAACCTTAAATGCATTCTTTCAGAGCAGTACTTGGAGTGAAGGAAAAAAACCTTATTAATTCCTCCCTTCTGCTCTCCTCTCGCTTTACCATCAGTAACCACGGTTGAAAGTCTGATGTGTATGATTCTGGGTACTATTTCTATAAATTGATGACATACATATGTCATCAATTTAAAAACATCAAAATAAACACATTTTATTACCTAGATGTCATTACACTATTTGTTCTGTTCTGCAACTTAATGTTCTTCACTTGACACAGCTTAGAGATCTTTTTATGTTAATAGATAGATTATCTACCTCTTTTAAATAGCTGAAGCAATAAGTTACAAGAAAAGATTCAAGAGAACTTGGCTCTTCTGCTACTATGAGAAAAGCTTATAACTTAATATAATCTCCAAATAGAAGTAGAATTTTTATGAGGTGCACGTTAAAGCAGTTATTCTCTTTCCACAGGAGAGTAAATAAAAGAGAGCAGCAGGGACGATTTCATTGGCAAAAGAAACCATGTCCTGAGCACCACTCCTTAGACACCAGACACGACTCTGCACCAGCTGAACTATCAGATTCCCTGGAAATTTCCCTCCCCCCCGGCTCCGCCCCAGCATCTGAGCCGAAAATCTGGAATAAATACACATTTCACTTGATAGAAACATCTTTCTTGTTTTTGAGTTGTTTGACTAAGTCAGTAAGTCTTTCCAAAGCCCCAATTCAGTAAGTTGTCACCGTCACGTCAGCCACATACAGGAACAATTTCACTGAAGTATTATTCACACTATGCAAATAAATTTCATTAGCATTTTAATTACCAAAAAGATATTACTCATTTTTTCCAAGAACGAATAACTATCTAGAGAGACTTGCCCAAGGGCCTTAGGTGGAGTCCGGTTCTAAAAACTTGGGCTTCATCATACAAAATTTCACTCTCTAAAATAAATACTGGGAACTCCCAATTTCTTTCATTTCCGATAAGGGAAGCAATTCTTATTGAAATTCTGCATTTTGATTTTGAACCATAAATGCTCTATGTACACAGTTTTTTTGTTAAAAATACTGACATTGTTTTCCCAGAATCTATAAAACCCCATCAGTAACCTGCACAAATGAAAAAGAAGATGAATCCCTAAGCTGGCTGTATTGATAACCTCAGTTCCCTACAACACTAGGAGATTGCGGGAATAATCCTGATATTCAGGACTCCTACTCAAGAGAGAGAAACGCTGCCTTAGAAAAAACAATTCACTGGAACAGCACTTCTCCACAGAGGGTCCTTCATACAGTAAGTATCAAGGTAAGGCAGTTACATGACATTTTTGTCAGCCTTTCCTAAAAGAACCAGTGTCACATCAAGTGAACCAGAGACGCCTGAAGGAATGTAGCAGTCTACTGTAACTGGGATGTAAAAGTCTCAAAAAAATTAAGGATCACTGCTCGTTCAATTCAATTACTATTACCCTCCTCCTTTCTCTTCTGTGTGAATTCTTCTCCAACTTCTCAGTAACAACCAAACAAAATCTGACACAATCTCTTTTATGGCCAAGGCTGGAACTTCTCTAAGTACAATAGCTTCTCCTAAAGACCCTCTCCCCCCTCCCCCATAGGATTTGGGGTCCTGGAGGAGAGACCCATGGGCAGTAGGACCTTAGGTAATTTCATACCTGTCAGGCCAAATTTCTTCACTTAGTGTTTCCCAAAGTGGGATATGCAGACCACTGATGGAGCAAGAGATGCATTCACGTGGTTGACAGACTGCTATGGTTTGAATGTTCATATCCCCCCAAAATATGTGTTGAATTCTTAACCTCTGAAGATGATATTAGGTATTAGCAAGTGGGGACTTTGGGAGGTGCTTAGAAGTCATGAGGATACAGCCCTCACAAATGGGACTACAGTAAGTCCCCTACATACAAACCTTCAAGTTTCGAACTTTCAAAGATGCAAACATGCATCTAGTCCCACACAGGAACCAGAACCTGTGCCAAAAACGTCAGGTGTGAATGAAATTGCAGCTTGCCCTCCATCTCCTATTGCTGACAATCCTTCAGCTCTGCCATGTCCCACCTCGTCTCCCTCCTCCAGTCAGTAACTCTTCCTGCCTGTTCACTCGATGCCAGCCCCTGTATGCCAGCTGCTGTGCTGTACTACCGTACTTTTCAAGGTACTGGACTGTAGGATTTAAAATGTTTTATTTTTTGTGTTCATTTGTTTTTTATGTATTATTTGTGTGAAAAGTATAATAAACCTATTACAGTACAGTACTGTGTTAGTTGGGTACCTAGGTTAACTTTGTTGGACTTACAAACAAATTGGACTTACAAGCGCGCTCTCCAAATTGAACTTGTTCATATGTAGGGGACTTACAGTAGTGCTTTCTACAACAGGTCCCAGAGAGCTCCCTCGCTCCCTTCTGCCATGTGAGGCTATAAGGAGAAGTCTGCAACCTGGCTAGAAGAGGGCCCCAACCCAACCACGCTGGCACCTTGATCTTGGACTTCCAGCCTCTAGAACTGTGAGAAATAAATTTCTATTGTGTATAAGCCATGCAGTCCACGGTATGTTGTTCTAGCAGCCAAAACAGACTAAGACACAGATAAACTTATTTTTAATATTAAAAAAATGGGCAGAAGACCTATATAGACATTTCTCCAAAGAAGACATACAGATGGCCAATAGGCACGTGAAAAGATGCTCAACATTTCTAATTATTAGAGAAATGCATATCAAAACCACAATGAGGTACCACCTCACACCAGTCAGAATGGCCATCATTCAAAAGTCTACAAATAACAAATGCTGGAGAGGGTGTGGAGAAAAGGGAACCCTCCTACACTGTCGGTGGGAATGTAATTGGTGCAGCCACTATGGAGAACAATATAGAGGTTCCTCAAAAAACTAAAAATATTTTGAGTTGCTATATGATTCAGCAATCCCACTCCTAGGCATATATCTGAACAAAACTCTAATTCAGAAAGGTACGTGCACCCCTATGTTCACAGCAGCGCTATTCACAAAAGCCAAGACATGGAAACAACCTAAATGTCCATCAACAGAAGAATGGATAAAGAAGATGTGGTACATATATATAATGGAATATTACTCAGCCATGAAAAGAAATGAAATTGGGTCATTTGTAGAAATGTGGATGGACCTAGAGTCTGTCATACAGAGTGAAGTAAGTCAGAAAGAGGAAAACAAACATCGTATATTAATGCATGTATGTGGAATCTAGAATTTGGTACAGATGAACCTATTTGCAGGGCAGGCATAGAAACACAGATGTAGAGAAAGGACGTGTGGACACAGAGGAGGAAGAGGAAGGTGGGACGAATTGGGAGATTAGGTTTGACATAAATACAGTACCGTGTGTAAACTAGGTAGCTAGTAGGAACCTGCTGTATAGCACAGGGAGCTCAGCTCAGTGCTCTGTGATGATCTAGATGGGTGGGATGGGGGGTCTAAGAGGGAGGGGATATGTGTACACATATGGCTGATTCACTTCATTGTACAGCAGAAACTAACACAACACTGTAAAGCAATTACACACCAATAAAGATATATACATACATACATATATATATATATATAAAGAAACAACCAGCTCATAAAACCCATGATTTTGTAGTTATTATTGGCAAGGAAAAGTAAAATAGAGTCAATTTAAAGTTGATTAAAACAAAAAGTGCTTCACAATAAAGTGGTACAAAGATGTACCAAACTCAGAAGTAATGTGCGGCTTCGAGATACTTCGGATGCTTCTGATGCGATCATGAGCTTTGCTCCCCTGGGCTGTATCCTCACTGATTCCCATAACTTCCATTGCTTTCTCGCAGCTAAATATTCCTGTTAGCATTTAAACATGCCCACATTTCTCTAATCTTTTAAAAAAAAAAAGACCCTCCCTCACTTCCCTTTCAACTACAGCTCTCTTTTTGTCTTTTTACCCTCAACCTGATTGTTGAAACAGCTACACTAGCTGGCTGCATGTTCCCACCTCCCACTCAGCCCTCAACACACTCCAATCTGGCTTCCACACCCACCTCTCCAAGGACACAACCCACCTGATGATAAATAAATACAGTGAACGCATCAATCATTATCCCACTTTGTCTTTCAGGAGCACCCAATGGGGCTGACCTTCCTTCCACCATATTACACGCAATTTGCCAGGCCACTGATTAAGTTTTCCTCCTTCTTTGGTACATTCTGTTTTGTTTTTCAAGTCTCCTCTGTTGGTTCCTTTCCCCTAAACAAGATGAAGTCCGGTGCTCTTCACAGTTGTACTTCGGACTCACTAACTACTCTTCTTATTATACATCTTCCTTGGTACTTGCATCCATTCTCCCAGCTTCAAAAATCATCCCTAGGCTGATGATTCACAAATCCACATCTCCAATTCAAGTCTCTCCACTGAGCTCCTGACTTGGATGTTCTATAGGAATCTCAGTTCCGACACATTCTAAATGGAACTCATCAGCTTCTCCCTATGTTCCTACTGTAGAGATAAACAAGAGCATCCATCTGGTTGCACAAGCCAGAGACTATTTTCCTTGATTTCTGTCCGCAAATATGCCCACCCAAACACTCTCCATGCCTACCCCCCCTATGTTGTAGGTTTTCTTCTCTCCATCCTACTATCACATCAGTACAGGCCCCTATCATCTGTAGCCTCATCAACTACAAAGGCCTCATCACTGGAGCTCATCCCCACTGTCACCTTCACAGCACATGAATTTACAGCTTCCACAGCATCCTAGGATAAGGTCCACAATTCCCTAACATGGTTCCTCAGTGTTCTCTCTCCTGAACTGGGGTCTCATCACATGAACAACATTCTAGTTCTCCAAATTCTATAAACACGTTCCTGTCTTTGGGAACATGTTTATAGAATGTGGAGAATTCAGCAGCTACTCTTGCGTCAGGCTTCAGCTTCAACATTACTATGTTCTTCCCTCTTATGTCACTCATCATCCTTTACTGTAATTCTTATTTAATGTCTGCCTTCCCCTTTACACAGCACATTCCACAAGGGCAGTAACCACCGATGTCTTATTCATCCCCATATTTTCAGGGGCTGGCATTGTCCCTGGCACTGTAGTGGATACTCAGTAAATACTTATCAAATTCAGACACCAAAAGAAAATGAGATATCTAAAGGCCCTTAAGACAAGGCTGTCTGAAACAGTAAAAATACCAGTTTCATTTGAGTACAGCAAACATTGCTTTGTTTTTCGACTACCCAAAGAATGGTGTGCAAATGGCTATGAGAATCTACCAGTTTTCAGCATCAAACTCAGACATGTTCTCTTCAGAGAGATCTGAATGGGTGATCCCATTACTGTGTAATGAGCCTCTCAACACTTACCTTGCTTACTTCCTTTAAGGCCCTTTTGCAGACTTCATACTTTGAAGAGTCCTTAGGTGTCTTTTGACAGATAGTCTGCAATCAAGTAAAAGAAGAACAAAATCAACTGATTTATTTTACCAAGTAAAACAAAACCAACGTCCAGTCATAGAGTCTTACTTGTAGCAAACTTAACAATGCTGAACACAATACTATGGATGAGTCTGAAGATGACATTAAAATCCGATTACAAAACTAGGAGATAGTCTTTAAAAGCACAGGATCCATGTTAATCCAGAGGATAGTTAAATAAGAGGATAGACTTCAGAGGTGGGTGAACCTGGTTTCAAATTCCAGATCTGCTCCTGACTAGCTACTTGACCTTGGGCAAGTCACCTACCCTGACTCTATAAACCTCAGTTTCCTCATCTGTAAAATTGGGATAATGCAATTACATCACAAGGTTGTTATAAAAGTTAAATGACAATGCATGTAAAGTTTTTTATGAATACCTGGCATACAGTAGGCTCTCAATGAATGACAAAATTAATGATCACCATCTTCATTATTATTAGAGCTTATTATATTTGCAGATGATATAATGTGAATAAAACGATCAAAAAAGCGGCTGCTGGATTTTCCCTTGATATGTTTACACTGCTATTCTTGCGATGGTAAAATCGAGTTCAAAGAAGGTCAACTGAAGGTATACTGAATTATGTAAAACTTTTGAAACTATACCCATTCAAAGCCAACAGAACTATTTCAACTGTTAAAAATGTTCACCTCAATTAACAAGCTTAACTAAATCTCCAAATGAAGTAACACTGAAGAGACCATGTTTTAGGTACATTTAAATTCTGCCCAGGTGGCCAGGTTCTCATACATGGGAAACAGACTAGGGCAACAGGCATCCAGCAGAGGTGGAAGATACTAGGAACTAGCAAACCACTGGTACCTTAAATGCAGACGAACACCAAGTCTATAAATCCAAAAGTCAGGGGTCAGGATTGTTACATGTGATACGTGAGAAGCGTAGAGTGTACCATCGATGGATTTATATTAATGGTTCTCAAAACTTTGTGACTATGACCCACTGCAAGAAATACTTTTACACTGCAACCAGTAGACATGCACACAAAAATGAAACACGTTTTTTATGAAATAATATTTAACCACATTATGAACGATGTATATATCATATACCACATGTTCTATTCTATATTCATTTTTTAAAAACACTGCTCATGATTCAAAAATCAATTTCATGACCCACTAATGGGTACAAAAACAGTTTGAAAAATACTAGTCTTTGTCTCTGGGAGCAGGCATCCTTAGTCCATAGCTTCTTTCCACATTTCAATTATTTTAGGTAAAATTTTGCACACTGAATTTTCTAGGGAGAATGACTACAGCTTCACTCACAATCTCAAAACGGTCTCTGACCCCAAAAAGTTTAGAGCCTACTGGGCAATCATGGCATAAACCTCCAACATGGTATCTACAACATGTATATTAGATTTTGTGAGTCCCAATCTATCTAAGCAATTTCCTCAGAATCACAAAGGGAGAGAATATTAAAAAAGGCTGAGATCACAGAATCTAAGGAAACTCGGCTAAAACGCGTTTTCAGAAGAAGAAAAAAGAAACAATCCTGAAAATTCATAGCATTACTAGAAATGTTACATTTAGAAAACAACCATGTCTTGTTAAAAAATAGTAAAGTTTGAAAACTAGTATTTTCCTATATGTGTCAAAGTTTCATTATTTCTATAAAAGTCTTATTAGGCACAGGAAGTAAACCTTTTTAGAGCCAAAATTTAGTTTTGATAACCTGATTTCATTTTATTCTTAGACATGATAAATACTGATTTTTTAAAAATCAGAGCTAGATTCACAAAACTGCAAGTTTCCCAATATTTACAAGGAGAGAAGTTCATAAATCACAGGGAACGGACAAGGAAGGGTGTAAAGGGAGTAGGCTGAGGTGGCCTTGGAGAGCAGCAGGTGCTGTGAATCCTGAAGTGACAGCTGAGCCTTGCCCTCACCGTGCAGCAGAGCCAGCAAAGCGACCGTGATCACATGCTTTCACTCATTTCTAAACTTCAGTGCTTCTTCAGAATAGCTCTTAGAATTTATAATGGAATTGAGAAAATGGAATGTATTATGGAATTGAGAAAATGGAATTTATTTTGTCATCTTACTTGACTGTAATTTTTTGCTTTATTTTTACCCTGTATTTTGACTTGTAAAACCAAGTATGTCAAAACTGACATTATATTAATATTATCCATTGTAAAGTAGAACTATGCCAAAATATTTTAATTTGATCAAAAAGATACTCTTTGAGCTACCATGTGATCCAGCAATCCCACTCCTGGGCATATATCCAGAAAAGACAAAAACTCTTAATTCAAAAAGATCCATGCATCCCAATATTCATAGCAGCACTATTTACAATAGCCAAGACATGGAAGCAACCCAAATGCCCATCAGCAGACGACTGGTTTAAGAAGATGTGATACATAAAATGGAATATTACTCAGCCATAAAAAAGGATGAAATAATGCCATTTGCAGCAACATGAATGGACCTAGAGATTATCATACTAAGTGAAGTAAGTCTGACAGAGAAAGATAAATATTACATGATATCACATATGTGGAATCTACAAAATAATACAAATGAATCTATATACAAAACAAAGGACTCACAGACACAGAAAACAAACTTATAGTTACCAAAGGGGAAAGGAAGGCAGGAGAGGGATAAATTAGGAGTTGGGATTAACAGATACATACTACTATATATTAAATAGATAAGCAACAAGGAGTTACTGTAAAACACAGTATGTATCTTACAATAACCTATAATGGAAAATAATCTGAAAAAATATATATGTATAAAACTGAATCACTTTGCTGTACACCTGAAACTAACACAATATTGTAAATCAACTATACTTCAATTAAAAAAAAAAAAAAAGAGAGACTCTTTGCCCCTCTAGCTGGATGGGAGTCATGTCGGGCCACCCCGTTCTCTCACGGATGCCCCTGCAGTTGCAGCCCAGCCAGTGTGCAGCCTCCTGAGCTACCGTCTGGCTGTCCTCCCAGCTGTGTTTCCCACCTGGCAGTCTCAACTCTTCTCCCAGCCACTATTCAAAATCACATACTTGTTTTCTTCATGAATGTTTCCTAAGATAAGACGGATGCCTGGACTTTCCTCACTCATTCTGAGCAATGCAAAATAGGGCAGGTTCATGCCCTGTGATTCTGTAGGGGACCTCCTTCCTGTGCGAAATGGAAGCGCCTCATCATCTTGGAATGTGACAGGGAAGGGATCTTAGTGGTCAACCAGAGGAAACTGAGGCCCAAAGAGATTAAGTGACTTGCCCAAGGTCACAGGCCTAGTGGATCAGCCAGAAAAGGAATCCGGGACTCCTGACTACAAGAAGTCAATATTCTTCCCATTTCAAAAAATGTTAAGAAAATGAGGGATAATCTAACTTCTTCAGAGTGACCCCACAAGCCTAAATTGAAGATAATTTCCAAAGATATTAGACACAGGTGGGACTTTCCAACTGAACAGCACCTTCTCACTTAATTGGGGGATTTTACAGAAGGGATATAATTTAAGTGGGGTAAGAATAATTTTCTTAATTGGACTTGCAGCAGCACAGCTATCCACAGAGGAAAGAGACACCAGATCACATCTTACATCCATCAGCAGGGGAAGGCGGGTCACCCTCTGCATGGGGAGAATGAGAAAAGAGATCATGGGTAAGTTCCTACAGTCTTCGTGGGACTCGATTCGGGACAAAACTTCCTTAAAAGATGGGTTGGTGGCTCTGAGGAAAAACAAAGAAAGACAAAACTTCAAAATACTTCCTCTTCAAGTTAAGAAGTAAAAATGTATAATAAAATATTGTGATACATTCATATATTATCGATGATTTTTAAATATAGAAACAACAAACACATAATTACATAGAGAGACATGCATGGCTTATCTGCCTTATACAGTCAAGACTGAATATAAGATATAAATTTAAGGTAACAATATGAACAGTAAGATGAAAATGTATGGGCTAGAAATTTTTAAAAGTAGAAAGTAAACTAATGAAGAAGCAATGGTATCATAATGGTGAATGTACACATTATAAATTAGTATACACACTAGAACTCATATCTGATAATCTATAAACATTCCATTTAAAAGATAACACATGTTTTAAGCCACTTCTCTAGCCTGAGATAATAATCTAAGAGAGAAATGTCAGACTGGATTTACTTACTAGGAGGCTTTTGGACTTTTTCAAAGCTTCTAAGACAGAAAACCTTCTGATCATGCCAGCCAGAATATTCCTCCTCTCCCACTGACGTTAGAACAGTGTTAATACTGCCAGAACATTTTTACAGAATTTAGCAAGATACATCGACATAAAGGATCTCATGTGGAACCACCCTATAACTTTCAGGGAAGGCCAAGAGGGGATTCCAGGAAGAATGGAGCCTCAGAAAGGTCCCCAACTTGCCAAATAAAAGATCTAGTATTCAGTAAAGATAGAAGTCAAACCGAGGTCTTCTGACTTTCAGTGGGTCCCTGATACTGTATCTCTCACTCTGTCACCTCACTTCACCCCAAAGGGAGCTCTGAGGAGTTCCAGGGTGACTTGTGAGGAGGGCGGGTGGGGTGGGGGGAGGCCAAGAAGCAGGGTAGTGGCAATTGTAACCTTTTTTTAAAAAATACACTTTGAAACTTGGATGGTTGGGTTCAAGGCTGCTAGAAATAAATTAGGAAATACCCAGAAGAACAAAGTAAAAGAAAGAACACAGAAAGGTTTTAATCTCATTTTCTTAAATTGAGGAGTTTTAGGTTTCCTGCTAGCTCTGAAAAGATTTTTAGGAAGTTTAAAAAAAAACAAATTCTAAACCAGTTGCATATTTAAATTACTTAGGCCCCCAGGCCCCCCTCCCCCCCCCCCCCCCCCCACCTCCAAAGATTCTGATGAAACAGTCTAGGATGCACCCTGGGCATTGTTTGTTGGTTCTCAGGTTCCAAAGGGCAACTGAAGTTGAAAGTCACAGCCTTAAATGTAAATTTACATCAACTGCAACAAAGTTTCTGAAAACACAGCTACTAATTTCCATGTGAAAGCTCCAATGATGGTATCATTGAGCACATTTAAATAAAACCTTTATTTCTCAAGAACTACATAAAGTACAGCAGTACCTATTCGCATTTTTTGAAATCCTGCAAAACAAAGTGAAATTTAGCTCTAATTCCAGACTTTGTTTTCACACATGTAACTTGGATTTTCCAACAGTTACAGAGTAACCTTTACATCAGCAGTTCCCATGGGGGATGGAGGGGAATTTAGGGAAAGTAAGGGTTGTGATTCTCCATCCCCCACCCCTGCAAGGGATGTCAGGCAATGTCTGGAGATAGTTTTGTTTATCACCACTGGGGTGTGGTGGTGCTATCAGCATCTTGTGGGCAGGGGCCAGGGAGGCTGCTAAACATGCTACAATGTATAGGGCAGTTTCCACGACAAAGACTAATCTACGACAAAATGTCAGTAGTGCCTACAAACCCTGCTTTGTACTAATAGCCTCCTTTGACGTTGGCAGCTGTGGGTTTTCCACCCTGCCTGGAGGAGATTTTAATGAGAATGTGGAGGGGGAAGGGGCATAATCAGCCTTTCTCACCAACTTGGGGGTTGTTTCTCTAAGCAGCCATGAGGTGATCATGACCACAGGGTCTCACACATTGCATAGAAACTGACCTGGGTTCCATGCTGCCGTCATAAATGCCACAACGCACAGGAGGGGAGGAGAATGATGACAGCCAGTCAGCCCTCAAACTGAGTTTACAGCAATGTACAATTGCACTGTCAAATAGATAGCCCCTTGTGATAAACAAGCCCCCGACCCCGGCAAGAAAGCAATATAGACATTACTGAACCATTGCTGACTCTTTTAAGGATAGAGATAGCATATACATCACAAAATGCTCAGTAACCTAAACAGACAAAGGGAAAAAGTATGGGGGGAAATTTAAAGTTTAACTCTTTTTTGTTTCATAGTTAAAGCCTTTAAGAACTTTTTAAAAAAACTGCCTTCCTTCGGACCTTCCCCTGCTCTCCTTAACCCCTAACTACGCGGAGGGGGAAAATCAACAATTCTTATAAACAACTGAATAGAGTTGTCATTTGAATGGAGGAAGATTAGGATACTTGAGAAAGCTCTGGCTCCTAGGCACTAGTTCAACCTACTCAAAAACTCTATCTTGGCCTCAGGCTACTTAATGGTCAAATAACAGCTTAGAGAACAATCTTCTCACCATTTAGAATGATGATCACTGATCACCAACCCTCCTACCCCCCAACCCCGTGTCTTGCAGCAATTAAAAAAAAAAAAGAGGGCTTCCCTGGTGGCGCAGTGGTTGAGAGTCCGCCTGCCGATGCAGGGGACAAAGGTTCGTGCCCCGCTCCAGGAGGATCCCACATGCCGCGGAGCGGCTGGGCCTGTGAGCCATGGCCGCTGAGCCTGCGCGTCCGGAGCCTGTGCTCCGCAACGCGAGAGGCTGCAACAGTGAGAGGCCCGCGTACCGCAAAAAAAAAAAAAAAGGAAAACAGCAACAAACTACAATTTCATAATTGCTTTAGAGACAAAATTCTCTACAAACGGGATTTTTTTTAAATCAAATGCCCTCACCCTAAAAGCAATCCTCTTAATCATTTCTCTCTGGGGCTTCCCTGGTGGCGCAGTGGTTGGGAGTCTGCCTGCTAGTGCAGGGGACACGGGTTCGAGCCCTGGTCTGGGAGGATCCCACATGCCGCGGAGCAACTGGGCCCGTGCACCGCAACTACTGAGCCTGCGCGCCTGGAGCCTGTGCTCCGCAACAAGAGAGGCCGCGACAGTGAGAGGCCCGCGCACCGCGATGAAGAGTGGCCCCCGCTCGCCGCAACTAGAGAAAGCCCTCACACAGAAACGAAGATCCAACACAGAAAAAATGGATAAATAAATTAATAAAAAACTCCTAGCCCCAACATCAAAAAAAAAAAATTTATAAAAAGAAAAAAATTTCTCTCTGGAAAATAGATCATCAGGAGGCATGTCTAAATATAATTTAAGAGATCCATTAATTTCAATCTATGTGACCTAATTAAAATGAGATAATTAAAACTGTAACATTCAATATTGCTTACAACAATTTTTGTAGTGTCCGCTGTTGGTAGACTTCATTTGTGCAGTATTTCACATATGGGTCAAATGTGGATGCTGTGTGTTTTTCCACAATGTCACTTATGTCATCTATGAAAATATTATTCTGATGTCTTGCTTCCAACTCTGTAAAGAATCTGGAAAAAAAACAAAGAAAATCATTTACACTTTCTTCTGTGTGCTTTAATAGACAACAGATCATCCTCATGTAATACTATTATACGTACAGGATTTGAAAATATCAACAGTACACGGTACTAAAAAATACAAGAAAAAAACTATAAAAGAGTCTAAATTTAAATCTATCATATAAAGACCTTATTACTTCGTATGGTTGGCTTAAAACATTAATAATCCAGGGCATTTCTGTGCTTTCAGGTATATTTTAGAATGTACAGATTTCACTATTTTTCAAGAATTCCACAGATACTAGGAGGGGGACAGGGTTCATGCTTACATATTTTACTGTATTGAAAAGCATATGAGCAAAACACCTAAGTTAGTGCCTAAAAAATAGGTGTGAAACAAACCTAGTTCTGTGTCCTTTCTCTCAAAATAAAAATAATCATATCATTTAAATCTAATATATGACATTTAAATTACTTCGTATATGACTGAAGATTGCGATTTAGAGTCGCCAGTGTGTGTGTTGTGTGTACTTGCACACACACATATTGTGTCTAGTTAAAGTTAAATTTCAGATAAACAATGAATAATTTTTTAATACAACCATGTGCAAATATTGCATAGGACATCTTGGATGTCTTGTATTTTTTTCTGGCAACCTTAGATTGCATCCAATTTTAACAGAACATCAACTCAGATATTTGAAACAGAGTATTCTTGCTGAAAATGTGGACCAGTGACCAGCAACACTGGTATCATCTAACAGCTCATCAAAAATGACAGCTCACCAGAAATGCAGAATCTCGCCACCTACCTCCCCCAATCTGAACCTGCATTTTATCAAGATCGCCCGATGATGTGAATGCACACTAAAAACTGGGATCTTCCCTAGAGCACACTTACTGAGCAAGTTCAGAGCGGCAGGAAAATCTTGATAGAAATAACTATCACACAGGACTAGAGCATTTTCTTTAAAAGTGTGATGAAGGTGAAACCAACAATAATGTCTAATGTTGACTTCTGGAATAGTAGTACAAGGGAAGGTTAGTTTTCCATAAGCCCTTTAGCATTTAGCACATCATTTCTCCTTACCAGTTTTCTGGGTGGACTCCATAATATAAAATTCAAGGCACACAGTGAATGAGACACCAGAGATTTATATGAGGTGATTAATAGTAAACACAGGCTAACATTTTCTCCCATTTATATCTCACTTCCTTTCAAAGAAAATCCTGGCACTCAAGTAAAAGAATTAAGAGGTCTTATTTTTATAAATGTACATGTACATTAAACTCATTTTAATGTAAATTGTATTAGCTTGTCATCATTATCTATTCTATTTTTAAAAGTCTCCATAGGAGCTTAAAAGACAAAGAAATGCATTTTAACTCCCTAGAAGAATAAATCTATTTATATTCTGGGTAAACACCTACATTTTAATTGCCTTTAAAAGGGACTTAGGGAAAATAATCAATATGGTTCCCATCTACATGGCCTCATCATCCAAGCCCCTTGTTTAAAACAGCAAGAGGGGCTTCCCTGGTGGCGCAGTGGTTGAGGGTCCGCCTGCCAATGCAGGGGACACGGGTTCGTGCCCCGGTCCGGGAAGATCCCACATGCCGCAGAGCAGCTGGGCCCGTGAGCCATGGCTACTGAGCCTGCGCGTCCGGAGCCTGTGCTCCACAACAGGAGAGGCCACAACAGTGAGAGGCCCGCGTACCGCCCAAAAAAAAAAAAAAAAAAACACACACTTTGCTGGACTATTTGGCTTTCCTCCCAATGGGATCAGGGTTCATACACACAGTTCCTAGACAGCAGGTCAGAAAAACACATCTACGTTTCAAAACTCAGTCAGTGACTTCATGTCACTTTGTCACTCTGAGTTTATTAAGATTCAAATAAAATGTCAAACCCTCTCCAAAAAGTTTCAGAATTTCAAAAACATCCAACTTCAAACCCTATACAAACAAAAGCCATGTTTCTTAAAGAATATTTTCTATCTAGACTGGTCCTTGACTTCAAGAAATTTGTGATATATTAAGAAGGTAAGAATGATAAACATAAATGATATAGGAAGAAAAAAATGCTTGTATATAACTAACTACATGTTGGAACATATATGCATAAGGGTGCTGGTGGCAGTAACTTTTTAAAAATTATATGAACTATATGTTTTTCATTCTGGTAAAATATACATTTTAACCATTTTCAATGGCTTTAATTACATTCACAATATTGTGTAACCATCATCACTATTTCCAAAATACTTTCCTCACCCCAATCAGAAATGCTGTACCCATTAAGCAACAATCCCCCATTTCCCCCTCTCCCCAGCCCCTGATAACCTCTGATCTACTTTCTATCTCTATGAATCTGCCTATTCTAGATATTTCTGGAATCATACAATATTTGTACTTTTTGTCTGGCTTATTTCACTTAGCATAATGTTTCCTAGGTTCATTCATGTTAAGGGATATACCAGAACTTTTTCCTCTTTATGACTGAATAATATTCCATTGTAGGTACATACCATAATTTGTTTATCTGTTCATCTGTTGAGGAACACTTGGGTTGTCTCCACCTTTTGGATATTGTGAATAATGCTCCTGTTAACATTCCCATACAAGTATCTGTTTGAGTCACTGTTTTCAAATCTTTGGGATATATATCCACAGGTGGATTTTCAAGCTCTCTGACTCTGCCACTAATAGTATATATCAAGAAATGATAGTATAAAACCAAGAACCAATACAGAATAAGCTGAGCTACATGCCAAGGAAAGATTATTTCCTTAAGTGAAGGTGGAGTAAGAAACGATCCTTTACCTCCTGACACTCAGAGTTGAGTGGCCCATGGGAGGCATGGAACCAATTAACTGCGATATAGGACTTATTAACAGAAACATACAGTGAAAAGCGCAGGGCAGGGCGTGAGGTGAGGAAAGGTGTGAGGAGTCATCAGGGATGAGGATGGCAATACGGGGAGAAGGGGGGCAGAGCACTGCAGGCAGGGACACAACGTGGGCACAGGCGTGAATCTCGTTGGGAAAACTGTGGGGTTCAGCGAGGCGAGGTGTCGACCACAGGAGGAACAGGGGCAGAGAACGAGGGCTGCAAAGCAAGCAGGTCAGAGCTAGACTATAAAGGTTTCACTGTCTACTGAGGAACTTGGGCTTAATCTATGCTATGGATAAGGAGAACCTGCTGGATGGAGATGGTGAAGCCATCCAATCAGACAGAGACAGATTGAGACAGAAGTGGGGAGAGACAGGCCATAAGCAGGCCAGTGAGATGCTAATCTGGGCAAGTGAAAATAAAGCCTTGGCAGTGGGAAATCAAAAAGGGAGGACACATTAGGGTAATAATTTGGTGGGAAAGTTAATAGAATAGAGAAACTCATTAGATGGAAAAGTCAAGGAAGACATTGTGGTTTCTAGTCAAAGTTTCTAGCTGGGCATCAAGGTGGGTCATGAAACTATTCAGGTAGACAGGGACTTAGGAGGAAGGGGGAGAAGCGAGAAGAAAAGAGTTTAACTTTCCCTGAAAATATACATGTGTGAGAATTCAGAGCCACAGGAATTCTAGGTATTATGTAATCAGGACAAGTTCGTTTTTAGCTGGTTTTCATATAAATGCAAAATATTTGTAATTTCTTTTAGCTCCAAGTGTCGTTTAAGAAAATGTTCAAAAAAAATTGAAAAAATAAGAAACCATTCATAAGGTCATTATCATGTAAATCTAGGAAATAAATATCTTAGCGGCAAAGATCTCTTCCAATTTCTTGTCTTCAGCTAACTGTTACAGTCTGAGGAATGCAACTACATGACCAAAAACAACAGTAACTTGGCTTTTCCCAATGAAAAGGAAAATTCATTTATCACTCTAGAAGGTTTGCCAAAGTACAAGATTAAAAACAAAATACTAATGAAATATCTATGCTACTTATTTTAACATAATATAAACGAAGCCACCCATCTTTTATTTAGACACTGGCACAATTAAAACATAATTCAAAGCTTTCTATGTTAAATTATATTGGTTATTTTTGGCAAATTTGCTTATTTTACTAAGTGAGCTGAGCTACAAACAGGCCAAGAAAGTATTACTAAAGAATGAGGTATTATTTCAATAACCAAGAAAGCCGGAGAGCCAAATGAAGCAAAGAGAAAAGCATTCTGGTTCCCTAGATGAAACTTGAATGAGTCTGTGAAGCAATCTGGTTTACTTGAAGGATAACTTTTTAATGGAAATCTACTTCAGCCCAGTGAATTTTTTTTTCTGGCACAATACCTTCATTATTTCCTCTTTGTAGCATTACCAAAATGATCGTGTTTTACAACCAATCATGTTACACAACCTTTCTGTTTTTTTTCCCACCAAAATTCTAATGTCATCATCGCTAACGTCTAGATTTTGAGAAACCTCTGATGAACCAGGAAAGGCTTCCTGGAAGCACTGCCTCTTAACCAGAAACCCAGGTTAGCCCTGTTTGACTGCTGACTCACCATCACCAGCATCCAGTGGCTCTGAATTCTCACAGATGCATATTTTCAGCTGTCTATTTGACACGTCCAAAGGAAAATTAAACTGCTTGCTTCTTGCTTCTTCTCCCTCCACCTAATCACATCCATACTTCACATGAGCACTGCAAATGACTGCAGCCTGCCCGGGTGAGCTCCTTGGCTATGCAGAGAAAGGTCAGACCACCAAGAAACACAAGGGCAGCCTCCCAGGAGGTGGGGACTTCAAGATGAGAACTACACGGCCATGTTTGAGGAGCTTGCTCAAGGCCTGTAACCTCTCCTCTAATATTTCCTAGAGCTGCAGGGACCGGATATTCCTTAGGCTTTTTGTGGTTGCTTTATCAAGTGATGGTCTTAAATGTGGCACTTCATTTTCAGGGAAAAAACAAAGTCAACAGTGATGTAGCCGCTTCTGATACACTCAGCACATATACTTTTGTGAGCATCACTTTCTCCCTTCCGTAGTAGGCCGAAAAGACCTACAAATTG